TAGAATCACATAACATTCATAGGAAGTTAAAAACTTTTGATAGCAAATCTTCAGTTAAACAACCAAACTATTATTGTAACTGGTGGAAGTAAAACAAAAGCGATTCCCTTCAAACGAGGGTTACTACAAGGAGCACCTTTATCCCCTACGCTGTATAATTTGTGCACAGATTTCATTTTAAATGAACTAAGTGAAAAAGAAGTTCAAATGGCTTTCGGATACAAACTTCTGCCGGATTTAGATAGACTACCCATAATGGGATTTGCTGATGATTTAGTTATTATGGGTAAAGACAAACAAAGTGTTGCAACCCTTACTTCAATGGCCATTAATTTACTTAATTCGATCAGACTAGAAATAAACCCCAACAAATGTCAGTCTATCGTGATTGAAAAAGGACTTCTAGTAGAAGGTAATATCTGGTTAGATGAAAACTTATTCATAAAAAGTATTTCAGATAGTGAAAACATAAAATATTTAGGTGTTAACTTTTCCCAAGGGATCGTTTGTAATAAAGAGAGAATAATTAAACAATTCAAATCCCAATTAGAAAGACTAACATCGACTACATTACTTTTGTCAAGCCAAAAGTTTAATATAATTAATCAAAGTATATGGCCAACGTTAATATATCCATTTCAAAATGCTCAACTCCATAAATTACCAGTAGCATTTTTAACTGACTTAGACAAACTGGTTAAAAGTAGTGTTAAAGAAATATTAAGCTTACCAACTGACACTCCAGATTTTATGTTATATAGCCCAACAAAAATATAAAGGACTTGGATTAATCAAGGCTCAATGGGAAGCATATATTCAACAACTTAATTCTATACAAATACTCAGACGGGTTAAAAATTGTTGTACAATAAATGAAGACAAATTTAAACGGATAGAAACAATTTGTTTAAAAAAATTACACCTAGAAGAAATTGATCGTAATCAAACAATAAATACCCAAAAATTAAGAAATGAGTTAAGAGAAAAAGAGTTTGAAAATTGGAAAAGCTTAAAACAGAAGGGTAAAGGTGTTGAACTTTTCAAGGACTATTTTCCGGGAAATAAAAGTATTATTAATAAAGAAGGCTTGTCAGAATCTGAGTGGAAAGACAGTATAAAAATGATTGCAAATGTGGTGCCAGTGCGTGTTCTCCACGGCAGAAGTCAGGGTAATAACCGCTGCAGGCATACCTGTGGTGAGATTGAAACCCTTGCACATGCTCTTGGCTTCTGTCCGTTTGTTGAACTTCTAAGAAACACAAGGCACCACAAAATAAGAAGTATCATAGCAAATGCCTTCCGAAAAAGGTATAATACATAGGAAGAGCAAGAAGAAGTACACTGTCTTTCTTCTAACGGAAGCACCAGAAGAGTAGATATTTTATTGATCGAAAGAGATACTAACAAAGGCATAATTCTCGATCCTACAATTCGATTTGAAACAAACATAAATCAAGCTAACGAAGTAAATGTAGAAAAGAAAAAAATTATGATTCTACCTTTGAATATTTCAAGCAAAATTTTAAAAGTTCAAAAATTGAGGTGATTGGATTGTTTATTGGTTCCAGAGGAACATTATCAAAATTGTTTGTGAACTTTTGGAAACAATATGATTTGGACAGATCCTTTGTGAAAATTATTATTCATGAAACATTAAGAGGTTCATTGACCATAATGAGAAATCATCTATATGGCAAACATCAAAATTAATCAGTCTTATAGCTGTATAATCCTTCGATATTTTATGTGTACTATTTTTCTGTGTCATTGGCAACCTTATTTTTTAAGGCAGAGCTATTTATTTTTATAAATAAATTCTTTCCTCCCTAACCAAGTTCCTAATTTACAAACATTAAGGGAGAGAATCAGAGATGCTGTGGAGTCTGTAACCAAGGATATGCTGACTAAAACCTGGGATGAACTGAAAAGACGCCTAGAAGATCTGCAGACCACTGGAGGTGCACACGTAGAGTTGTATTAAATTTGTACATAGATATAAAATCTTAAGAAGTTGCATGTTATATCTGTAAATAGATTTTTATCCTACCATCACTCGTTTTCATACTATGCGGTTTCCTTATCAGGCCAAGACTTTGTGGACTCCCTGTGTAGTATTCGAGACATGTTAAATGCACCAGAGAACACTATGTCGTATAAATAGTGGTTTCTAATTACTTAACCTTAAGATATCTAATACCTTCCAAAAAAAAGTACGGTGAAACAAGTGAAAGGGGATAAAGCAGAAATAATATTTTGTTAAATTCATGAAGTAGATGTTTCCAAAATGTGCAGTTTGAAGCTCTTTGTGGAAGAACAGTAATGTTGTGAATGAAGAAGTTCATGTTCACCAACAAAATTTGGCGTATATGAATGGATTTAACAAAAATATATGTTTATTTCCAGACTCGATCCGTAATGCTTCATAGCGAATTATCGTATAGGGAAGTTCCCTATTTTTTGTAAATTTACATAAGATAAAACATTTAGCTTTTTATTTTAAATTGTCGCGAAAGAAGCCACGACAGTTTGTACTAGTTTTGTAATATGATACATGAGGTGAAGGTGGAGCTTAACCCTAACATACTTAAGCTATGTGTGTGCCCGACAAACTTAATAAGCCTGAATAACAATGAGTTGTTAAGTCTGGAGACTTTATCGTTTAAGATTATGAAGACTCAGCTTCTAATTTTTTTTTTAGCTCGTTTAGGAGCTACAGCGTGTTACTTTAGAAAAGTAGCTTGACGTGCGGTTATAGTCCTTATGTTATCTGCTTTTTTAAAACACAATCATAAAATACAGGGTGTTCCATAAGACATTGGAATTCATATTTTTTTATGTCAATAAAAACTAGTTGAAGTTCCCCATTTAATGTTCTCTCCAAATCTAATAGTTTCTGAGATCAATGGTGGCAAGGTTAAGTTGTTCACCCTGTATTGTAAATGATAACACGTTCGCCCTTGCGTGTTTGATTTGAATACGTCTTAAATGTAATATTGATTTGAAAAGCATAATTCAATAATTTAGTTATTCTATGGCATAAGCTCTCCATTAAATATCAACTAACAGCATACTTTATCAACTTACAGCATACTTTATGTCAGACCCGAGAAAATATTTTAAACAATAGAAAATTAAATGCTAAATAAAATTCATGTTCTGTAATTCTTTTAACTTTTGAATCTTAACTTAATGTTTCATGTCTCCTCTAACCTAACAGTTAATGTTGACATACGTTAGCGCCGTCTTCTCTACACCCCTGTAGTACATAACCTGAATGAGAAACAGAACTCAGATCGTTTAGTCAGTAGATTCTCATACGCCCTTAATATTTTAAACTGTAATAATATAAGGTTTTTGTCCAATATCCTAAAAATAATGTATTAAAGTTTATATAAATGTCCTCTTTGTAGATTTATCAACGCGAATGATTAATTGGTACAAAAGAGATCATAAGAGGCTTATGTTTAGTCATTAAACCTTCCATTGTCAAGAGCCTTGGTCAGTCGTCGACAATATGAAATACTCTCAAAAACTTTCAAAACCTGTTCTTTTATAATTTTACCTAGTCGTTATACTAGGTAAAAGCGGGTTTACTAGGGGAAAGTCATTCTTACAATACTATAAATAGGCTAAACATATCAATGCCTATTCACAAACTAGAATTTTACAAAAAGAAAACCACATATGCTGGAGGAAAATTTTATAATAATTTTCCAGATAACATTAAAAAAGAAGTTAGTATTATTAAGTTTAAAAAATTGCTAAAGAATTATTTAATTTCAAGACCACTGTATTCATTGGAAGAATTTTAGTATGTTTAGTTTTTAATTTAGTCTTATGATTATGACAATATCTTTGACGCAATTCTATGTACTAATTTCATGTACAATAATGAAATAAAGAATGTTTGAATTGAATTGAATTGAATTGAATACATACAGGTTTAAATATATTTCTAGTCATAAATACGTGTATGGGTTTCATTAAAAAAGAGATTAATTACTTTATACATTTAAAGTCATTGTTACTTTAATTAATTACTTTTCACATGTCATGACTTACTGAATGTAGTTATTGTGAAAAAAATGTTTTTGTAGAACACTCAAATAACATGGTTAGAAGTATGCAGTATTTTTGTCCAATAAAATGATTATCTTACAGTAATTTTCCGCCGACTAATTTGATTGATTTAATAATAAAATAGCACACAAACAAGGCACACAGGAATACATCGCCAACACATGTTTGTCGATGTAAATGTTTGTTCATATCAACATGCAACATATTCTGACACGAGTAAACACGAACGTTGCATTTGTATATAAATTGACAAAGCCTCATTTCATTTGATCAAATTAAACTACATTTGATGTATGCAAAATGCAGTTAAGTAATGTACACATTTAAGGGACTAAACTGGTTTGTAACATTCGAGTGATTACCCGAAATTGTCTGTTTGAAATATTCTTTGCAGTTCATTGAGATATGTAATTTTTCTCGTTGATAAATGATTTTCAGCAAAATTTGATTTCATAGATATTCTTTTGTTGCTATTAGGTAACCGAATGTGTTTCTTTGGCTAAATTGTCCAACAAAATAAAATTTACCCAAGAAATTTACGATAGTGAAATAAACAATTTTGACCTAACTATTTCACGAAACATCAACAAAACATGCATTTAAAATTACCAGAAAACTAACGTAATCAGATTTAAATTCTATCAAATTCTAATCATCCTTGGAAAGACAAACTATCTGCTCTCAGATCCATGGTAAATTGTCTTCTGAACGTTCCAATGGCAAAAGAAAACTAGAAAATAGAATTGAATAAAATTAAATAAACAGCGTCGAAAAATGGTTCCAAACAAAACATAATCTACAATATAAAAAAATAAATAAATAAAATGGAAATCATACACAACAAAGATATTGTACATATGGATATAGTATACAATAAAGAAAGAAAAAAATACATACAAATTCATAAGTATCCCTCTCAGTACAACTCTCAACAAGACAACAAGAAACACTTTTTAAAACTCAGAATTGAAAGCCGGATACCTGACGTGCCGGGGGTCGCCCGTCGCAATGCAGATCCCGACCTCTACATTCATTCCGCACTCCCTGACCAAGGACCGAAGTAAATGGCTTCAAGAATACCCATCGGCAGTGCAGAGCACGCATCAACCCCAGCAACCCAACAGGGGCACTCCCAGGAACTCCAAGTGAGAGCGTTGGTCACCCCAGCAACCCAACAGGGGCACTCCCAGGAACTCCAAGTGAGAGCGTTGGTCACCCTTTTAGTCACCTCTTACGACAAGCCCGGTATGGCTGCGGTCCTATTCTAACCCGGGATCGCACGGGAAGCAATGCGTATAGTGGAAAATGCATTTGGAATATTAGTCAGTAGATTTAGAATCCTCGAGAAACTCTTCCTCTTCTACCTAAAACAATCGAAAAGGTGATCTGTGTGATTGTCTGACACCAATGGGTTGCAACGTGTAGCAAGAGTCAACAAAGCAAGAAAGAAACGGATCAAAGGGATGCTTACAAAACCTACTTTGCCAACAAGAAGTTGTAGAATGCCAAGCTAAAACGATACACTAGTTATTAGGAAACTAACTAGTGTCAAGAGAGGGTATTATTTAAGTAAAAAATAAAATAAAAAATAAAAAAAACAAACATATAAGGCTTAAAAAATTTAAAGCTTATTTCTATACTTTGTTTATTTTATTATAACTCATCTATGTTGTTTCATAAAGTTTTGAGTCATAGCATTCTGCCCTCTGTGTTATAAACGAAATGTGTAAAACAATTGTGAATCTAATTACCAATGTTACTTTGGTATCCTTGTAAGCGTTTCTTTCGTCATGAATTCCTTCATTACGTTACTACACTTGAGGATCGGCACATCCTCAGATCACACTTTTTTCAGTATACACACCTTAATGTTATACGTACCAAGGAAAGACCTTGAATTTGGCTTTAATTTCACGTACACCAAATCCTTGGAAAATTTAGTTTTTGGCAATTGTAGCTAGTGAAGTTTCACAAGTGTTTTTCACCGTCTGGATGATCCCACAGCCACCTGTGTTCTTTAAAGTTCAACGAATTTTAAACTCATTTCGTCGTTCCAATTTGGTGCCTATTTTTCTACAAACGTACGAAACAACACAACACACCTGATGCTTCGAGTGACACAAGGAATCTAGAGTAATTCCGACAAAATATAAGACAGCGCTACTGGCCTACACCATTTACACGATGCCAATTAATAAATACGACAACCGGGTTTTTTAATAGTAAGAGGACTCGCTGGGTGCAGCTCATTGTCCTTAGTCTATTTGACAACTGAATTTCAGGGCAATTGTGAGGGCGGTTGACAATGACAATTAGTTGGCCTGAAGTGTTTAGACGAAGACCAATAATTTCATACCAGTTAGTAATATTGTATTCTGAGAATTGTCTCACCAACTGGCATTGTGTAAATTCAGCTGCTTAAAGCATAATTTCCGTTTATTATCATGAATAATGTGTAAATTTCGTAAAAGGTGATTTAAATTTTAGCCTGTGAATCTCAGAAACAGAACGTCTCTCATGTTGGCCAAGTTTTACGGCGTATTGAATGAGACGTATTGACATGTTTTTGATGCAGAAACGTCCCATTTGTCTTCCTTCCCAGAACATTAGGGTTCTTATCGACAAGTCAAAGCGTTAGGGTAAAGTTCTTGACACAATCTCGATATTCACTCACAGTAAAATATTGGCACATAAGGATTTTTTATCAATTAATATTTTATTTTATAGATTTCGAGTTTCTTCTGTAAAATTTAAAATTCACGTAATTTTGCTGAATTTAATTTCAACAGCCAAGTAATGATTGTAAAAAAAAAATATTTGTATATTGAAAAGGTATATTTTTTATTGAAATGTAAAAAGTATGTCTAGAAACCAGTTATCATTTTGTAGCATAATCTAGCTTCGTTTCTAAATAAAAGCCTAAAGTAGACATCTCTGCTTTATTGAGTGTAAACGCAGTCATCAGATTAACTGCAGCAGTCTAACTCGTGTAACAAGTGCATCAACATGTTGAATATGCATCCTTAGAGCGACAACGCTGCAACCAACCCGAGTGTGTGCGGTTTACTAAATGTATACAGGATGAATATAAAGTTCCGCCATAGGGCTTAATATTTCCTAAACAACAGATAAATCAATAAGATTTTGTACATCAACACCTAAAAATCTACTTTTCTAAGGAACTATCAATTTTGTGTCATATCATGGGGAGGTCCCCCGTAGAACATCATATACAATGATAACCGGTTTCTAGACATCTTCTTTCAAGACATATAGTTTCACGCAAACGCAAGGTGAACAACTAACATAAACATTATTTTTCATATGGATTTTCTATGATTAAAATTCAATCGCTCCAGTATTGTTAATGTTATTTATATGTTTTAGACTCAAAACAATCAGTAAATCATAGGCTTTAATTTGAGCTATTGATCGTTCAGTTGAGCTCAAGATACTGTATTACTCAATCAAAAATCTTAAATTAGATTATTTCTTGGATATTATATTTATTTAACGTTGCGGAGCAGCATGGGTCTTCTAGTATGTTTTAAAATGTTTTTTTTTACAATTCCAATGTACAGTATTTTTATCGTATCAGTAAATTAATAAGTATCATAAAGAAATTACTTGCCGCATTTAGTTGTTAGACCTATTTCGGTGTAGAACGTAGATCAAGCCACAAATAGTAAAACCTTAATTAGAGGCTTAAATTAACACAAGGGCCAAGGCAGCCACTGCCAAAACACTTCAAACGACTAGCAATTTGTACTTACACTCCACCCATCTCAGCTCTGTGTATATTTACACAAACATTTACCACATACATATACAGGGTGATTTGTACTTAGTGTGACAAAATTTTTTTGGTGTAAGTACAAAGTAAATGAAGTGTGATGATGCATATCAAATGTTTCAAGTCTCAAAATTAGCTTCCCAAAAAATTATTTTATGTTTTTCAAAAATAACCATGTTTTTAAACTTAATACAGCGATTTCTCAATTACCTGTATATGGATTTGAGTAGATAATGTAATTTTCGTGTTCTACATTAAATTTTGAACAAGAATAATAGAAAATGATGGAGGATCAGTTGTAAGAACTCCATTGTAAATAGATTCAAAGAAAAAAATTAAGATGTTTGGTAAAAATTTTAAAAACAATGGTCTATTGCATTTTTCACACCCTGTATACAAGAAAGTGTCGGAATATATTAAAAACTGCGCCATTTTATAAGCTTTCCAACGATATGCTACACTATTGAGGTTTATGTCTGCTTATGTACGCTTTAATGGTTTGAAGACTACAAAGCATGGTGTCTTTAACATTTAAAACATAGAAAGTCGGCATGTATTAATCAAAAGTTGTATTTTTGATTCAGCTTGAACAGTAAAAACAGTAAAAAAGTTCCCTGTTTTCTGGTATTCAAACCACTAAAACAAACAAAAAAATATCTAAACCTCAATAGTGTAGCATATGGTTGGAAAGCTTATAAAATGGCGCAGTTTTTAACATATTCCGACACTTTCTTGTATACAGGGTGTGAAAAATGCAATAGACCATTGTTTTTAAAATTTTTATCAAATATCTTAATTTTTATCTTTGAATCTATTTACAATGGAGTTTTTACAACTGATCCTCTGTCATTTTCCATTATTCTTGTTCAAAATTTAATGTAGAACAAGAAAATGACATTATCTACTCAAATCCATATACAGGTAATTGAGAAATCGCTGTATTAAGTTTAAAAGCATGGTTATTTTTGAAAAACGTAAAATAATTTTTTGGGACGCTAATTTTGAGACTTGGAACATTTGATATGCATCATCACACTTCATTTACTTTGTACTTACATCAAAAACATTTTGTCACACTGAGTACAAATCACCCTGTATATTTGTAAATTATTTTCTTGGATCTCCAAATTATTGTAAATTTAAGTTTTAATTTTCGTGCAGTTTATCTACCCAACGTCATTGAATTTTATGAAAATCTGTACACCCTATTTAAACTTGAACCTCTAGAAAATCTATAAACTCATAGTTACACGAAATATCAGACGACCTGGAACTACTAGATATTGATCTCCTGGAAGACCAAGAACCCATAAATTTCCTTGAACCTTCTGAAGAACAGGAACCTAACAAATACCATTATCTCATCTTGCTGGAGACGAGGAATTCCCCAGCGATATTGATCTCCTGGAAGACGAAGAAGCACCAAATTATCTGGATCTACCTGAAGAACAGGAACTTAACGGATAACATTATCTTATCTTGCTGGAGACGAGGAATTCCCCGGTGACATTGATCTCCTGGAAGACCAAGAAGCGCCGAATTATCTGGATCTTCCTGAAGAACAGGAACCTAACGTATAACATTATCTTATCTTGCTGGAGACGAGGAATTCCCCAGCGATATTGATCTCCTGGAAGACGAAGATGCACCAAATTATCTGGATCTACCTGAAGAACAGGAACTTAACGGATACCACTCTCTTATCTTACTGGAGACGAGGCATTCCCCAATGGAATTGATCTCTTAGAATACCAAGAACTCAGTGATCCACTGATTAAATCTTAGTGATCCCAGTGATTAAATCCTAATCAGAAGTAACTCCAAAAAGGATTTTACCGAATCGGAAAAAGTATGTTGGCTGATCGGAAACGGAGTCATCGTGCCAACTCTCACTAAACATTTTATAGTAACTTTTTATGTATAGAAAATGATAAAATACAGGGTGATCCATTAGAAATATTAAAGTTGTCATCCATATGTTAATAATAAGGGGAATATCCTTTAATAAGTAAGATGTCATATTTAAAGTAAAACAGTTGTACAATTATTTTTGACGTATCAGCGAAAATGTAATATATTTTAATGTAATAAATTCAACTGAATTCTCATACTTTGTTCGCACAGTAATTGTTTCACGCACAGTAAAAACTGATTCATTTATATAGCAATTAACTCAAGTCATTGAAAGGAATAAAATCTAAAAGTTGATATGAGTAAGTGTCAAGCATTAAACATTTGTGATGGCTCTACATAGAGAGTTTTGAAGTCATG